ATTAATGATCACTACATATTGCTATTTCAATTCTTAGTACAACGGATTTAGAGATATCTCGATTTGAAATTTTAAAATGTCAACGACTATTTTAAAATTTAAATAAAGTATCGAATGGACAGATTGAATTAATGAAAGTAGAAGGGGTTATGTTATTATTCATAAACATATATAAGTGAGTTTAAATGGTGCATTTCATTTTTTTTAGCAGAATACCTTGAACTTCGAAGGTCCTTAAAGTTGACATGTTTTATTCCGTGTGCAATGAGTATTTTTTGCAATTGTATATTTCTTTCTTTTATTTAAAAAATGACTAGATCTTATTATTTTTTTATCGAATTAATTTTTTTTAGCCAAAATAATATTGTTTGAATTGTGTATTTTTTTTTTTAAAATGCAATGACTCTTTATTTTAATTAACTTTGTATTTTTTTCCAGATAAAAATTGTAGAAAATTGCAGGGATTTATTATTTTTAGCCAAATTTAAAAGTTTTATCCAAAATAGTAGTGTCTCAACTGTATTTTTCATTTTATTTCTTCTTTAGATGCCGTAGTAATTTATTTAACTATATATTTATTCATTACTTTTAGCTACTGAATAATGGATTCCCGCCAAGTTTTATGAATTTAGCTAGAAAAAAGTACTCCAAAAAGATCACAATTCTTTAAAAGATATATAAAATAACATATTCATGTAAAAAAGTTCATGTGAAAACACGTGTCTCATTTCATCAGGTAAAGTTGCTTAGGGGACGTTGAGACTATTCAAATTTCACTCATGTCCATAAGGATAATTCGGACTAAGTAATATCTAAGTATGCAGTGAATAAAAATACCCAAGTCCAAAAGAGTCCGAATATATTTTACCTTGTTTTCTCTACCAAGCTATTATATGTCTAACACTTAAACTTTTTTAGATCAAATACAAATATGAAATTAGGAATTGCTATGCTAAATTTTAGATTAAAATATTTAAATTTTGTGATTATCATGCCAAACTTCAAATAAAAAATATTAAAATTTGGAAACACCATGTCAAATATCACACAAAGTTGTATGAAGAATTTGCTTGTTAACAAATTATTTGATATTTTTCTTTAACAAGTCTAACTTCAAATCTATATATATTTTTTTATATAAAATTATTCAATCTAATAGGTTTATAAGTTGATTTTAGAGTTGCTAAACTTGCAAAAACTTATAAACAGGCTATACCTTAAATGAGAGTCATAAAATCGGCTATTTGTGCACTTCGGCTGTCTAGGCCCAAAATCACATTTTCGTATTCAAATGGGTATTAGGTCCTTTACAGGCCCAAATATTTTTAGGAAGGAATTTAAGCCCATGTCTTTTTTTTCACTTCCCGCTAATTTTACTTCATTTTTTGCCGCCCAGTAGATTTGGGTTCCTTATTTGGGAAATTTCTCAAATCTGTAGAGAGAGAGAGAGGAGAGAGAGAATGCTGGGAAGAGTAAGACGATCGACGATCAGCTCGCTGGAGCAATTGGAGCTGGAGAGGCCATCGTCGAAGATCATCAAAGCTGATTCTCTCTCCATATATGGTACTTTTTTCTTCTTATTGATTCGGCGTTCTTTGCAAATCATTTGGTATATATTCTGTCTTCTGCAATTGTAATTTGTTGATTCTAGGTGGCTAAATAAGAATTGAAGAATAGATTTATTAATATCTGATGTACTGGTGAGAAAGCTGGGCAGCAGCGACTAATGCCTCATCAGTGTAGATGTTTGATCATTATTGGGAATTGTTAAATGAGTTATGGTATTGTTGAGAGAAACGTAACGTTAAGTTGTATGTGAATTGATTTTGTGGAATGTGCCAAAGACTATAGATTCCTTTTCATTTGAATCTCCAAATTCCCTAATTTTTGTAATCAAATACCATAACCTGAGAAAATAACTTCCAATGACTAGAGAAGAAAATTCAGGATAAAATCGCTTTGAACGTAAATGACAATGAGTACCTAAGATTCAAGAGATAATTGATTTTACCAAAGGTCTAGGAGGACAACTATCACTCTATCAGTATTAGTTGACTGGTGACGAGGATCATATAGTTTGAGAGTTGGAAAAGTTTTAAAGCGTGGTTATGGCTGTTAGCATGTTGGACAGATTCTAACTTGACAATGGCGGAATGGAATGTGCTCATATGAACTATTGAGGCATAAGGAATGATAATCTTAAGATCATCTGTCTTAAAGTGGAGGACTAAGTTGCTCGGACTCTCCAAAAATGTTGCCGTACCCGTGTCTGATCCTCCAAAAATAGGATCCGACATGCACCCGTCTACATTTTTGAAGAGTCTGAGCAACATAGGTCGAGGAAGTATATATTTTAGTAATCACGCTTAAAGTATAAATGAAAGGAGTGGAGCAAAATAGGAACTTTCTCCCAGGGAGAGCTTAACAGGGTTGATACCAAGATGGTGGATACTCCAAGGAATCTCTGAGAGACTGGTAGAGCCAATCAAAGACATCCAGGACGGGAGTAATTTCAGTCAGTCAGGCCAATGAGTATCTGATTAATTAATGTTTCAACTTTTAATTTTTGTTCATTAAAAGCCATGCTGAAGGAAGGTTTTATGAGTCCTTGTAGTAGAAAGCAAAAGCTTCCTTGGTACGCATTTAAATTTTGTAGCTGAGTATACTATCTGTAAATATACTGGTAGAAGTAGATACATAGAATTAAATCAATTCCTGTCCTCCAAATTCCAATACAATGAATGAGGATGACCCCAGAAGACAATTATCATATGGTTGTACATCTCTAGCATGAGGGATGAGAAATCGAGTTCCAGTATTATCTCAGGTTACTGCCCGAACTGCAGTCTGTGTTAAGTGTGAAACAACTGAAGTAGTTATAGTCTTGCCAATAAAATGGTAGATACAGGAAACTCCATTCACTTGTGTTGCCTCGGTATAATTTTGAAGTTTTGCAGGAATATCTTAATAAAGCTTAAATGTCGATATGATTAGACTTGCTAAGGACTTTCAAATTTCACTGTGAAGTGTATGTCATGGTTTTGGGACAGACAGATCACATTGTCTATTTCAGTGATAACTGAACTTAAAAAGATGGTTTAGGTTGCTTCTGAGTTTTTCTAAGAGCATCTAAATGGTCTCGATGATCTTTTGGTTTTCAGAACTATGGATTCAATTTACTTCCTTTGGTCTATATATAATGGTTGCGGCTGCAAATAAAAAATCATTCGTTAAAGTGCTGCAAATAAATTAATCAGTCAAGTGTAGCTGCAGATAAATGTCTAAATTTTCCTTCCCTAAGAGAGTAAGAGTTATAGTGCTTTTGGTTTTCCCTTCTCAATGAATCATTCTCTCTTCTATTTTCAGAAAAACCAAATACTAACTAACTTTTGCCACCACATACACCTTTTGTCAACCTTAAACTATACATCTGACCTCTGATCTTTATCATTATGTTCAACAAATATGAATTTTAATTTGGGACGGAGGGGATTTGCATAAAGTTATGAACGATCAGAATGAATAACTTCATTGGAAGAAACTTTTACCCCTGTGCTCTTTGCCATCTCTGCCAGTTTATTTATTGTCATGTTATTTTCTACTTCAACTCTACGATGATCCTTTGTGTTGTTCCATCAAAAGTAGTGCAGCCTGTCAAACTTCATGTTTGATTGATGATGAAATAGCATTCAAGGTAAACATGAAAAAAACAAATTTCAGTTTTAGCATATGCATATCCTAGGTTTACATATAATCTGCCTATCCTCCAATTTGCTATTTGTATCAGTTCTATAGCACTTTCTCAGATTCAAGATATCACATTGGTATTGGAAATAATGGAGTGTGCCATAGATAAAGAGCCGATATACTTCTAAAACTGAATACTTAGTATATTTAGTAGTTGATAAATTTCCCCCCTTCTAATGCAGAGACAACACTTATGAAGCTACGGGAAGGCTCTCGGCGAGATACAAGCTTTCCTGCAGAGAGTTCAGTAGATGGAAATATATGTTGCATTACTTCAGGAGGTTCACCCAGAGAGGAGGCATCAATAACTGATACTGATTCTTCCAGGGAATATCTTGAAGATACCAGTAGTTGTCAGCCCACAGGCTCTTTGACAGAAACAAAGAAGAAGAACCTCTCACTTGCTTACATGTTTTCCAGGTATAGAAGTTCACAGTGTGCTGAAGGCATAAATGAGGAGGATGCAATGGATATGGAAGACAATACTTGTTCTACAAACTCTTTACTTAGTCCTAACAATTCTCAGTTGATGAGCAGCTCAGTACAGTCCACAATACAGGAACACATTTGTTCCCCTATGATTTGAGACAAGATTATTGCTCAAGTCTTCTACTTGTTGCATTGCTCTCATGGTGGTCTCTTTGTCATCTTGTATTTTTTATTTATTGATGTGCACGAGTTGTTTATAAATGATGGATGAATGAAGCCAATTCTTCAAATGTTGTAATTTAGTTCTTCATTTCCATGTTAATTGACCAGAAAAGGTGTAGCTTCGAGCAATGTTGGTCTAATTTTAATAAGTTTGAGCTTGATAGTTTTGAACCTAATGAAGTATACAACAAAGTCATCTGAATTTGTCTGCAACAACAATATCATGGTCAATTTAATTATCAATTCTTATAATCTTTTCGTCACAAGCATTGGATTGTTGAAACTCAGTTTGTTGAGTTAACTTGGTTGGTGGCAATACAAAAGTGGAGAATCTCTAAAAACTTTCTATAGTAGCCAGCAAAACCCCAAAAAAATAATACTAATTTGGATTTCAATTGGCCTCGTTGAGTTAAGCCAACTCTACTTGATCATATTTTCTATGTTTATTTTTGATAATATTATACTATGGTTTGTTGATAAATGAAGAAAGAAGCTAGTACATGTATTAAACTTGAGGGTTTATGTATTCTTTTGTGATAACTCGAGGATTTATTGTGACAATTTTAAAACAAGCAAAGGGCTTAACAGCGATTAAATTACTTCCATTTTGCGTTATTATCCCATCCGTCCTTTTACTTCCATTGCGCTCTATTTCTCACTATCCGGCGTATACGAGCCACCGACAACTCCGCCGGGATCATTAGCGGCCACCGTCTTCCTCCTGTTTCGTGATCTTCAACGGTGAGTCCTTCTCTTCCTCCTCAAACCCTAATTTTCGAGCTATACCCAGGCAAAATGCTCTTACACTGTCACGACCTATCGTCAATGCACCGGTCCAAATCCACCGTCATTGGCTTCTTCCACCGTATTTTATATTTCCATATCCATGTTAATCGAGACGCAACCAATTGTGGCTCCAAATCTTATGTACTGTCATTTCAACAATATGTGTGTCACTATTTGTATGGTTGTATTTGTGTTATCTGCTTGCTTGTTTCACTGTTGTCTTCTAACTATACAAATTTTTTTTTGCAGAGTTTTCTTCTAAAGAAACTAGTGGCTTCTAGTGATTTGGGAGGATCACTCTTCTGGTCAGCTGTGCTCTGAAGCATTAGGCGGTTGTTGTAAGTTGTGCTACTTCACTGTGATTATTGAGATTGCAACTTGATTTGTTTTCCAGATTCTAATATGTTAAAAGAGAGATTGAGCTAGCTGGAGGATAGTACTTCAATGCAAATCTAGTACAAGTATGTTTGATGCAGTATGTAATGTTGATAGATCTAAAGCAGAACCATAGCAAATGTGGATCCTCTTAATATCCAATTTGTTTAAAATGTTAAGAAAGTCAACTAATCGTGCTGGCAAGATACATTTTCCAATATTCTTTACGGTAATAAATAGAAGCTTGGCCGAATACTGCTCTTGATTTTATGCTTTGATAAGTGAATATGGGAGGACACCTCTATCTCTATTGAGTGTACTGGATTTTCTGTCAATGACTAATATTGCCTAGTTAGGTTAGAAATGAAAAGTCGTCCTCACTGAAGTAGCATCGGACTGAGGGCATGTTTGGATGTGCTTATAAAAAGTAACTTATAAGTCAAAAGTTAAAAGTCAGAAGTAGATGGTATCCTACTTTTGACTTATTTTTTTTAAAAATTGGCCTAAAAATGGGTTCTTAAAAGCACTTTATAACCTTTCCAAACACCCTCAAAACTGAAAAACTACTTAAAAATCAAAAAGCACCTAAAAATAAGTTTATCCAAACGGGCACCGAGTGCAGAATGTTTAGTTCGTCTGGTTTTGTGCCTGACCAATTTACTTATTTACGCATTAGAGAAACTCATACCTTGAATGATAGCAGGGAGCAAAGTGGAGAGGGCCACTAAGTTGTGACTTCTTTTGTTTTAATTTGTTTGTCTGATTTTGACGGAGTTTAAGAAAGTAAAAAAAAACTTTTGAATTTTGTGATCTTAAACTATATGTAGAATGTACCAAATGCCTTTTAATATTGTGGTTTTAAACATGTTATGTGGAAAGTTAGAATTAAAGAGTTGCCAAAAAGGAGAGAGGCATTCTTCTTGCAACGGACTAAAAAGGAAAGTAAGACAAACAAATTGAAACGGAAGGAGTATTATTTTAATAAATTAGATTTGTATGACAATATGATGATTGAAGGTGATATGGAAAGAGGTAGGTAGATTTAAAATCATACGGAGAGGAAATTGTCTCAAAAAACCTACAATTTTTCAGAATCAATACGGAATGCAACTTAGAATAAAACACACCAGAATAAAGGATCTGTATAGATGATACCATCAGTGTCCATGAGGAGCTTCTTTAGTTTGGTTAAGAACTGTATGTCTGTGTAAGGATATGTATGAAATTCAAAGAACCTATAGTTTTATCGAGCTCCTAATTTGCCTTAGTAAAATGAAATGTGCCTAAAGAGAGGAATGGATTAAGAGGAGTCATACAGTTGGTCCAGACCAGTTCAAAATGGTTGATGCACATGACCAAAATGATTGTTGGTGAATGCTCTGGCATATGACTTTTTCTGTATAAAGCAGCAGGCTTAGGTTCTGCAGGCTTGCTTGTAAAAAAGAGAATATACTACTTTTTCATAAAAAGTAAAAGATAATATACTAAGAAAACATGTATTTTTGTTATTTTAGATATAAATGTCAAATGATGTGGAAAATCCCAAAGATGGAGATGCCAGGAAGTCTCCGGATGCTTCTTCACCACCACCAAGTCTACATTCGACTTGGTACGATGGTTTACTTCAGCAAGCATCAGTTTATGGAGTAGCTGCTGGGTACTGTCTATCAGCATCATTACTTTCCATCATTAACAAGTGGGCCGTCATGAAATTTCCTTACCCAGGGGCACTGACTGCGCTGCAGTATTTCACAAGTGCAGCTGGAGTTCTCATGTGCGGGTGGCTCAAGGTTCTAGAGCATGATAAGCTTGATCTTAAAACAATGTGGCGGTTTCTGCCAGCTTCAATTATATTTTATCTCTCTCTTTTTACGAACAGTGAGCTTCTCCTCCATGCCAATGTTGACACTTTTATTGTCTTCAGATCAGCTGTCCCCATCTTTGTTGCAATAGGAGAGACCCTCTACTTGCACCAACCATGGCCTGCTATTAAAACATGGGGGTCACTGGGTACAATCTTTGCTGGTAGTGTGCTCTATGTCACTACTGATTACCAATTCACACTTACAGCTTATAGCTGGGCAGTGGCGTACTTAGTGAGCATGTCCATTGATTTTGTTTATATCAAGCATGTAGTAATGACAATTGGCTTAAACACGTGGGGACTCGTGCTATACAACAATCTTGAGGCTTTGATGCTTTTTCCTATTGAGCTGCTTATAATGGGCGAACTGAAGAAAATAAAGCATGAAATTCAGGATGAGTCAGATTGGTACAGTTTTCAAGTGGTGTTACCCGTAGCCCTGTCGTGTTTGTTTGGTTTAGCCATCTCTTTCTTTGGATTTTCTTGCCGTAGAACAATATCTGCGACAGGCTTTACTGTTCTTGGCATAGTGAACAAACTATTGACAGTGGTGATAAATCTAATTATCTGGGATAAGCACTCGACTCTTGTTGGAACAGTGGGACTCTTGATCTGCATGCTTGGTGGTGTTATGTACCAGCAATCCACGAGCAACAAGCCTAAGGCTGTGAACGATGTAAATCCACAAGCAGCTGATGAGGAGCAAGAAAAGCTTCTTGAAATGCAAAGTAGCATACAGAGAACTGAGAATGAGAAGCAAGTTACACAATCGGAAGATGAGAAGCAATAACATATTCTTGGGAAGAGTTCCCTTTTCATTGTTGTATGTCAAAGATATTGTTGAAATTCAATTATACACATTGTCAAAAACCCAGTGCTGTCTGAACTGCCAGATTGGGTATGTAGTCAGCTGCTAGTTACTTGGAGCGAATTCCATGAGGAAAAGGAGAGTAGATCGCTACATTTTAGTGGGTATGAAGTCAGCTACCTTCAACTTTGCAAAAGTACGTGTTAAGTTTATCTTCTGTAGTTTTGATTCATATTCAGCTAACTGATAACAGTAAGGTTTCTCCTCCCAATTCGAACAGCAGGTGATGATAGAGAAATATTGTAAGGTTTCTCCTCCCAATTCGAACAGCAGGTGATGATAGAGAAATATTGTAAGGTTTCTCCTCCCAATTCGAACAGCAGGTGATGATAGAGAAATATTGTAAGGTTTCTCCTCCCAATTCGAACAGCAGGTGATGATAGAGAAATATTGTAAGGTTTCTCCTCCCAATTCGAACAGCAGGTGATGATAGAGAAATATTGTAAGGTTTCTCCTCCCAATTCGAACAGCAGGTGATGATAGAGAAATATTTGTTTAATGCATTTGTTCGACATGGTGACAGACTATTCGGACTCCTGTACCCAAACCAGTGTCATGCTTCTTCCTAGTAATTTGTGTTACACGCTAGATGAATTTATCTTCTTCAAGTATGGTTAGTAAAGTCATGTACATGCTAGAAGTCCTCTTGAATGGGAATTTGCATGTAAATAGTGGTAATGTCGACAACTTTTTATTCATATGCAACTGTAAGGAAGGATATATCCTAATAGTCTGTCACAATGTACAAATGCTTTAAACAATTATTTCGCTATTTTGAATTGTTTTAAAATTGAGTTGACATGTCCAAAGCGAATCCAATTATCCACTGAAATCAAAAGTTTTTAGTATACCATAATGCGTCCAATTTCATTCAAGAAGATGTTCAAGCTCTTCTAATGAGCCCTTTAGAATTACTACAAGCACACATTTTTTTTTAAAGAAACGTTAATTGCAATGGCAGAATGATAGTATTACAAGATTGAATTCATCCTTCCCCTGCAGATTAAGGAAACTGAAACCTCCACATCCTAGTGATGAGTCATATCTCCTTGAGACATTATTCTGTCAACCAAGGTTGTTGAGCTGGTGTCCATGAGCTAAGTTCACCTTCTTTGAACCAAAGAGCTGCAGAAAGGAAATGAACAGATATATTACATCAATTCCCTTTCTGTTTTCAATTCAATCAGCACAAAAATCTTAAATTAGAAAGCACAAGAACTACTTAATCATTTCACTTGAAAACATCCTAATTATAGATGGTCTCAGTTTCTTCTCAACACGAATGAACTCCTCAGTCATCTTACTTTAACAACAAACAACAGTCTTGAACAAGATCTCTGACTTCTTCATAGTCATCATAGAGAGCTTGTTTTAGAATTTAACAACTTAAGTAGGTAGGTTGGTGGTGGATGAACAAGGCCAGTCAAAAAAGCATCTATATGAGGAATGAACAGGCAAGCTGATAGACTTTACTGCTGAAATAGTAAATAAAGGAACAAATACTGCTGTTTCACACTAGATACACTGATATTACAACTGGAAGTCTGAAAACAAAACAATCACGAGTACACTACTGACATAATAAATCACATCATAAGACAATAATGAACTTTAGTTGTATAATCATAAAGATCACAACCTTTCTAGACATTCGAGAGGCTAGAAACCCTCCCAGAACTCCCTTTTCTTTATTTTCTGAATACCCTTTTCCAACTGTCCTGCCCCTATTTCTACAGAAAAAACCACCCAATACAAACTGTCTCATGACAGTTACTAAGTTTCTTAATTGTTTATTTTGGCCTCCTGGAATAAGTTTTTATTACTTGAGGCTCATCACAAGCACATACTGCATAATTTGCAGTCTGTTTAAGCTCTACCGTCTCAAAAGGTGACGTCTCTTTAGGTATCCCATTTTGATTATGTTATAAACAATAAGATAGATAAACTAAAGAAAATGGGGTATTTTCATAAAAAGAGTGATGGTATAGATATCCTCAACATAACTTCATTTCTGGTCTTTCCTCATGATTACCCTATCATTGTTACCATAGGTAAAGTTACAAAGGAAAGTGAAGACAAAGGCACATTATAGCAAAACAGAGATGAGAGAGAGAGTTAGGCAGTGAACTGGAGAATCATATCTCAGTAAAACAATGTTCTTTTCCTCCATTTGTTCACACGACAAGTTAAATATGAATGGGGCGACCATTGCAACACTTACTAGTATCATTCCTGAATAGAAAAAGCATCTAGGTAAAGCCATCCAATGACAATCTCAACACTGGGGGTGATAACCCCAAAGTGAAGGCGGAGTGCAGTATTATCATCTTTTAACATTACTGTGAGCTCGTTTGTAGTCGAATAAATATCCAGGCAAAATTTTACTTATTCTCAAAGACATGGAAATTGAAGTCACTACTTTTAGACATGTAATGACTCTATCAGGCAAACAAACATAGTGCAGAAACCAGATTAAGTGATTCTGATGTTGCTTTAGCAAACATTTTACCTATTTCACGCTTGCCATTTTCAGGGCTATCACTTCCATGTACCACATTTCTGCAAACAGATTGTCATGGAAATCCAGTAAGTGCTTGGCAATATTGAGAGGTTGAAGTACAATGACTGTGTACTTATTGAACAATAAAGAGTAAACAAAACACTAATATCTGTTGTCCCGACCTTCCAGTTTGAACAGCAAGGTCTCCTCTGATTGTCCCTGGCTCAGCATTTAGAGGATTAGTTGCTCCTATTAGCTTGCGAGCAGATGCTACAACACCAATACCCTCCCAGGCCTTGCCAGAGATAGAATACAATCAAAGAAATTAGGAAGATCGGCAGATTGTCAAAGACACAAATAGGGTAAAACTCATTGGACTTTCATATAACTTGGTATCAACTGGTGAATGATGGAAATGGGCTAAATGGAAAGAATCCTACCATACAGACAACAGGACCAGAGGTAATGTAATCGATCAGCTTGGGGAAGAATGATTTGGATTGCAGGTCCTTGTAATGTTCCTGTAACAATTAAGAATTTCTGAGCAACTACAACCAAAACTACAAAATTAACAGGAAATAAATACTACAAATAGACTTGAGAAATGATTCATAACACAAACATAGTAATACGATTCTTTTTTCCTGATCGACAAAATAAACGTAACAACACAAATCTCTAGTTTTCTGAAAGCAAAAAAAGTAACTAAAAGTAGAAAAATCAATACAATCTTAATAGTACATATGAAATTAATTGTCAAACCATCCATTAGCTACTGCTTTACAAGGATTCATCTGTATGTGAAGGTCCTACTTCTATTTTGTACAGGATCGCGTTTCTTTACTTCCCATTAGATTCATGCTTCTTTTTATTTCCCATTAGTCCAACCTATATGAAACTGTGACATGAATGTTGTTAAAGATTAAACTTCCAATCCAGATGCATCATCAAAATTCATCCTATGGTTCCTATTTCCTACAGTTACACCATTTGAGAAGCATAATTCTGTGAACATATTGAATACTTTAGAGGAACTCCAAGCCTTAAATGGTAGGGAGGGAGGTAAAGAGGTTTCACGAGAGCGTGTGTGTTTGTGTTGGGGGTGGGGGTGGATGAGGGCATAAGTAGAACTGTAGGAATGTTAAGTATTTGAAATTCTTTTGTGTTATTCACATCGAAACTCAGCTCAGAAAAGACAAACCTCAGCCAGCTCTTTGGGGCATTGAAAAAGCTTCAATCCAGTTAGCTTAAACCCCTTTTTCTCAAATATTGAAATAATCTCTCCAACCTATCATAATTAAACAAGAACATTAAACAAAGAGCTAAGAATAATGGGTTTTCCTCTTCATAATTTTTTTTAACAATCCAAAGTCGAAACAAAGAAGAAAAAGCTGAAGAGCATACAAGTCCTCTTTGAACCCCATCAGGCTTAATCATAATATATGTCTCCTCCACTTCCTCCTGAAACAAGAAATTGACCCAAAAATACAATTGGGTAAGCAAAAATTCAACTAAAATACAGCATTATGTACAGATTAGAAGAGATATTAGCATACCATGGAAGCAACCAAGTAGGGAAGGAATATACGAGCTGTATGGTTCCTTTTGGAGCCATGGGAGCGCGATTGGGTACTCGCAAAAAGATGAAACGCTGGTTGAAATGCAGCTAAATTATGGTGTTTCTTGATGGGGTTAAGGATTAGCCTGCAAGAGGGTGCGCAGGATAAGCTACTGGTTTTGGAAGAAAGTGAAGAAGAAGAAGAAGAAGAAACACAAGGACTAGCTCCTACAATGCAAATACTCTCCATTTTTCTCTCTCACTTTCGCCTCAGGTTCCTCTTTGACACTAAATTGGTGCCACTCCTAAAAACTGAATTGCCTAAATTACCCTCCTTGCCTAACTTTATTTATCGGAAAATTTTAGAGATCTCCCCTCAAGTTTTGCTTCGTTTAGTGTTTTGAGTTTAATTTATTTCTATAGTAGTCAGCAATGTATGTTGTGGTATGAATGAGATTAGTTCATCTTAATCAAAGAAATAGAGAAACACTCGAGGGTTTCTTCTTTGATACAATGAGAATCTTGATTAATCAGGTCAGTGAATATCGAATACCAAATGATTATAGTCTTTAATGTAGTAACATTCCATAAGTGAAAACATGTAGGCTTCAATCTCGAATTGACTCAGTAATATAAAAAGCTTGGTTAAACACAACGAAGTAATGGAGTTCAGCTCGAATTAATCAAACTTCAAAAGTGTATATGCAGTGGAACAAGATAATGTCTTTTCTTTATGTACAATCCCTGAAATTTGTAAATATCAATCCGGGGAAGTACTAATAACATGTACATTTTTGACACACTACTTTTGATTGTCTTTCTTCTTTGGGATTGTGGGAAGGATAAATAGGATCAAAAAAATGAAAGAAATGTCAAAGCTATACACCAAAAAACTATTTTATATGCAAAATGAAAATGTCTGCCTAACTTTATTTCATCACAAACTCCATCTGAAAAAAGATGACACTCAATTTATCAGATGTTCTTATTGTTGAACTCCACATTGAAAATAGGCACACTGAAAATGACATTGTTGTTGAAGATGATCATATGATTGATCAGCATTTCCAGCAAGAGGCAGCCACGATAGGCTTCGATTTCCATCCAAGAACCAAGCAACCCTTCTCTTCTGTGATGGTGAATCCTTCATGTCCATTCACTTTAGCAAGCCACTGTTTGGCTTGTGACACCATCTTAATAGGTGCTGCTTGAAAACCTGCTCGGCTCATCCTCCTACGCCATTGGTCCACCCTCTCGTGCCTTTCCACCCTTGCTGGTCCCTCGCAGCTTACAATGTTCTTAATCTCCTCTGCAAAGTAAAATTGCTCTATCTTGGCTCGCCTGGTGTCATACTTAGGCAGCATGACATCAAGGGAGTCGAAGATAGCAGAGTAATAATGCAGTGCTTCCATGAATCTCCCGAGAAAAAAGGGTCCGTTGTGACTCGAGTCTTGCTCTACAAGGACTAGAATCTTTGGAGAAAGTTCATGAACTACCTGCAGAACAGAGTTGAGAGCACCGCGGCTTTCCTTCACCACGCAATGGAGCTGAAGAATGCTGTTAACCACGAGTATCTCGCCATCATATACTTTAATGTCCTTTGGTTTAAGGTTTTCCAAGTTGCTTTCCACAGCTGAAAACTCCAAATTGATACCAAGGCTTCTTGCATAGTCCTCAAGCTCATCTCCAATAATTTGCAATTTCTCGATATTCTGTCCAACAGCAGTGATCCTAAGGCGATGTGGGAGCTGGCCAGGGCGATTAACAAGACTCTGAATAAGACGACGCCATTGGTGACCATGAGGCAAACCAAGGCTCATTCCCAAATCAACCACATGAATGAAACTCTCTCCCTCAAAGGCTTCCAATATCGAGCAATTAGCTACAAAATGACCAAACTGAATATGTGGGCATGTCTCATAAAGCAACCTCAAAGCTTCTTCTTTCTTCTCCAAGGCAATGTCTGTTTTATTCATAGCAGGGGTAGCAACATAACCAACCGTGCCAAGCGGCTGCACCAGAGCCAGCCTATCAGCCAACCCCTGCATGAAACAGGACGCTACGCGCTGGAAAGACGTCCCAAATACTAATGCACTGGCACGTAGCTCCGATAACAACACCGATGCACGGGACTTATCTCTACAAGCCACAGCTTCAGCACAAGTAATTAAAAGCTGGACTAACTTCATACCTTCCCCATTTTCCTCCTCCTGATTAATTATATCAGCTGCTGCCTCTTCAATAGCCTCAGCAGCAAGGTACCTTTGGTTCAATGCCCAAACATGATCGCGAAAATGAATCCCTGGTTGCAATGACAAGCTATTCACACTATTAGTGCTACCAATTCTTGGTAAACTACAATTGCTGCTGCCACCACTGCTGCTATCAGTACTATAAAAAGTGCTATTGCTTCCAAAAGACTCACCAAGACTTGGGGTTCTCCTTAGCCTTTTAAAACTCCCACTGTCATTAGATAAAGTTGAAATGATCATGCTATTGGTAGGAGCATTTCTCTTCAAAACAGATGTGTAAGGATTAAGAGAATAAGACAGGTCTTTGTGATGACTAAGATAAAGGCCATTTTCCATAGGATCATAACCAATTTGATCACCATTACAAGGCTCAAGTGATAGAAAAACATTAGCCATATTATGAATCATTCTTATTCTTCTTTTTTTCTTTTGGTCTCTTTATTAATTCAAGAAACTAAAGCTGCTTAAAAGAAGACTAAACAGGTGAAGTGGGGTTTCATATATAATAGTTTTCATGGGCGTTGTTTTTTGTGTCGATTGATAATTTCGATAAATTTTGTCTTGATGCTATTGGATGTAATGTAATAGTAATAACTAATTTAACTACTACTTCAAAAAAGGACTTGACAGGGAGAGTTTGTCTGTGAAAAGAAATATTAAATTAAACATAGAGCAACCGATTAGCTCCCATGGCCTTGGACTTTAAAATCTGGTTCTTAGCCTGATTTGGTGACTCTACAGTCTACATTCTAGATTTCATGACGCAAACTAACCTTAACCATCATCTTTTAAAATAACCAGAAATTAGTTCCCTGTGACCCGCCATAAGTTCGGAATCAAGGGAGTACAGTCCCTCCTCAACCTAGTGGCGGAGTCAGAAATTTTAATAGTAACATGCCCTAAACCCCATAAGTGGGTTTAGGGATGTCAGTATGTTCGCAGATCTAATCCCTACCATGGAAAAAAGATAGACTCTCAGCTCAAAAGAAGTATAATCATAACAAGATAGAAAGAAAGGTACAACAAAATAGCACAATCAAAGTAAAACTACTAAATAAGAAGATGAGAAAAGGAGGCTAGCTCCCTCCATCTCCCTTGGAAAAGCACTATAACACATAGCAATCCTGAGCCATGTCCGCGATAAGCTAGAGATAATGTCATGTCTTATCGGATCACCATCCTCTAGTTTTTCTCCAGTCAAACTCTCACACCTCCTTATTGATACCTTCGCCATCTCCTCCTCACATGGTCTTTTCCACCATGAAGCCCACTCCCACAAAAAATTTGCCCTGTTCCGCCACACAATAACCATAGGTAACCGCCTAAACGACACACTTAATAACTTAATTGTTTAGCTACATGAATTTTCACTTTATTGGTGATGGTTCTATTCTCATCTTGTAATCCCGTCTCTCATTTCCCCTTACCTACAATTTTATTATTAGTTTTTTAAAAAAAAAACAGGTGACCATCCAATAAAAGTTTGATTAATCACACTTTTTTAAAAAAATAAAACATGTTGGTGTAAATGTGTTAACAGTACAATTTTTTTTGTGTGTGTTTATGACTTAATCCATTTTGTTTAAAGAATCATTTTTCCTATTCTATGATATTTTGTGTTCATGACGTTACTTTAAAATTAACAAAGATACCAAACAAAAACCAGAATTTTGGTAGTCCACTTTAATTCGGCTTAGAGTATTTTATGAAAGCTATGCTAACTTTTTAATATTTGAAGTTTACCGACATGAGAAGAAAACTATTTACTTTTTAAAAATATTTCATTCTGCTAAAAACTGGTAAAAAATCGAGGAACATAAATTGAGATCGAGTCAATCCATAAAACCGTGAAAGAAATTGAGGGACTAAGTCGATTTATTAAACCTATCCACCATGATTTTGACCCTCAATTTTTGACCTGTTTTTAGTAGTGGAAAAATTGAAAAGAGAAATATAGTAGTAACCTGAAACAATCAAAGCTAGTATAGTGGAGCAATTTTTGGTTTAAACAATGAAGTACTATACAAGCTAAAATATTTCCTTTTGCAAAACCAAATCTTATATGCTTTTTGCTAAAAAAAATAATCTTAGAGAATTATACACTTTAATTTATTTTATATTAGATAAACGGCACAAGATTAATATTGTTGCCCTCATTAGAAGCTTCCAAAGTTGTGAATATTATAGGAAATAGAACAAGGCAAATAAATAGCCAAGAAGTGGAACATGTCAACTCCATTGTTTTACTTTTTTTTTTTAAACTATAAATCGTCATGATAACTACTCCTATGGTTTCTTTTATTAAAACAAGAAAACAATGTCAAACCTTTTCGTCATTGGTCCAAAACCAATCTCTATTAATTGATGTTTGGTACTTCCTCCGTTCTTAATTACATGTCGTACTTATTAAAAATAAATGTTCTTTAACACTTGTCGCTTCACAAAATAAATACTATAACACTATTCTTCCTATTTTATTCTTGAGAGTTATTGGCCTTGAAAGCATGAATTTGATCAATATAGGAAAACTAAATGATTAATTCGTGTTTATTGATCGATTTAATTAATCAAAATAAATTAATTTATGTTCATTTGTTGAAAACTTGACTAAGGGTACAATGATAATCTTACTTAATTTCTTGTGACGTGAAATCTAAATGGTGACATATAAATAGGAATAGAGGGAATATTATTGAAAAAATAATTTAAGAATTAAGTAATTAATGCTAAGTGACAAATGTAAATGAAAATTCTATTTTTGGAATAGTGGACAAGTAAAAGTGACCCCATGAAATACTCCATCTGTCCAACAATAGTTGTCAACTATTGACTTGACGATAATAGTTGTCCACTATTGACTTGATACACCTCTTAAAAAACAATAAATAATAAGGGTAATATTATCATATCATCCTATAGTATTTAATAACAAGCGTAAAATAGACACAAAAGGTTATCTCTTTATTTTTAAAATTGGACAACTATTTTTACTATAGTGAACAACTATTATTGAAAGTGAGGACTTACATTATCAAACCTATTTACGTTTAAAGAATTCTTACGCAACAGGACTTATAGCTTGTTTGGATCAACTTTTAGAAGTGTGAATGTAGTAATTATTCTCAAAATCCACAATTAACGTTGGAGAGTGAATCCCAAATTTAGTGGAACCAAATATATTACCGTTGATAATTATTTAGGAATTTAATTTAATTATTAGGGTAACATCAGCCGGCTAACATAGGAAAAACTAAGTGCGTAATTGATTTGATTTGTAAGAAAAAATAATACATAATATTCTTAATTCTTCCTATGTGAACGTCATAAGAAAAGAAGCATTTACAGTTTTATGACTTTTTATGAGTGGATTATTATCAACATCACAATGTACATCGGCATAGCATATGCTAATCATGTACTTAAGGGAAACAAGAATACATATTTGCAAATATAAATAAAAATGAAATTCCTTTTTCAACATATTTTTTCAAAATACTCCCTCCGATTAAAAAAGAATGACCAACTTTTTTTTAGTCTGTTTCAAGTGACATGTTTTAGGCCACAAAATTAAATAATATTTTAATATATTTGATATAACTTTAATTTAAGACCATAAGATTAAATTTCGTGTCAAGTCAAAAGTTATTTTTTTTAAAACGGAGGGATTAATAACTTAGGTGGGAATAGAAGGTTCCTTCCTTGTACTCACTAAATTAATCAGTACACAACATTGGCCAATCTAGAAATACTTGCACTTTTTGCTGACAAAGCTTGGATTAATTTACTATTAATTGGCACTATCAGTATCCCATGCAAACTTAAATTAAATAACTATATTATGTTTCCATTTTATGGGAATTTTTTGGTACCAAAGTGAATTATTGATTTTGACTCAATAATTTTTAATTTGAGTTCACGTCAGTCCATACTTACCGTCATGCTTAGAAAGAGGAGAAACCTAACAAGTATCAATTGATGGCAACTAATATGCCTTTTAAATTGCTCAAGTCAATGTTAGCTTTGTATGCAACAATTTTTGGTTTTAACTTAGGGTATCCGACCAGCTTTCACCAACCTCGACTAATTCCACGGTACCAATTATGGTTAGATTCAATAAGTACACTCTTTTGAGTGTTATTGTGACGGGGTTGAACCGTTCGGTTTTTCTATCTATATCAATGTCTAACCAGCGAAGTCACCAGATGTTCAAAGGAGCAAGTGTTATGTATAACGGCAAGACAACAACTCACAAGACGTTCAAAGGAGCAAGTGTTATGTATAAAGGAAAAACAACATACCAGTGAAATCCAAGATGGAGTCTAAAGTGGATAAAGTGTATGCAGGCCATACCCCTACCTTAACTCGTGGGGGTAGAAAGGTTGTTTCTGAAAAACCTTTTAACTCGAGTATCACATATAAAAGTAGATTTAAAGGGAGAAAGCAGAAGTCTAAAGGAAACGAAAAACATTAAAACAGGAAAGAACAAATGCACAACACTGAGCAAATTCTATATTTCAGAAAATCTCATAAGAGTTGTGAACTTTAATCTCATCTTCCAATCCCAGCAGATTCGCGCTGATACAAGCAAAATCATTGTTCAAGCACTAAACCTAAGATGCATGAGCAAGAAATGCTAATGGTTATTTGTCTATGGTAGAAAATGAATTTGGAGAAACACAAAACTCTCTTCCTATTGCTTGCTCACCTGCCGGCAAAGTTTCTTTCCCCTTCAATCACAGTCCAGTTTGTTCATGTTAACTATCCAAACTTTGAGGTCCCAAAAAAAATCAAGACACAACCTAACAACTGCTTGAAATAAGACTACTGCTGGTAGTCAATGCTTTTTTGAGCATAACTAACTGCTTGTAGACTGTAGTCAATGTTACTGGCAATACTTTCTTTCTATGCCAATACAACTCGTAAAAGGAAAATTTTTATAATTGAATTATCCATAACAAGGATGGAGTAAGGGCATCAATTTTGATTATGACAAATTACAAAAGTTACCATGTTTTCAGGTAGTCTCATACTGATCATTACCCTACACCAAACACTGATCTCCAAAATCTTCTTCTAGAAGTTCCACGTCTATGTATTTGCTTCAGATCTTTAGCTGCAAGTAATGAGCAAATCAGAGAAGGACTAAATAGCAACATAAAATCATACCATCAGATTAAAGAAATGGTCTACTTGGTAAAGGAAGAAACTGCAGACATAAATTGCTATATGCAGCAGAGCATCTCGAGCAAGAAACCAAAAAAAAAAAAAACTAGAAATGTAACATTATTCTGGATCACAAATTAGCAGAGAACTAATTATTGGGGACAGACAGACCGGTTAATG